TTGGAGTTTGGAGTTTGGGGTTTGGGGTTTAGGGTTTAGGGTAGGGCCTCATATTTCAACGCAAGCCCGATAGGATTAGAAGAACAAAGATCCTAGCGACTTTGAAAACTTAAACTCCTAAAACCCTAAGCCTTTACCCTGAACCTAAAACCCTGCGAGCCCCAAACCTGAACCCCAAAGCCTATGAGTCTGTCCACCACAAAGCCCAAATCTCGAAACATCGAGGCCTCGTCTTGAAGAGCTTGCTCTCCTGCCCACTGGGCGTGCCAGAAAAGGTGCGCACGATCTTAAAGGAGCGGTTCCCCGAAACCAGGGCCTTGAAGTTATTTTGGGTTTAGGGATGAGGGTGTGGGGATTAGGATCAGGGCTTAGGGTTTATCGGGGCTTATACTAGGGCTCTAAAGGCTGTGATGGGTTTGAGCGAAACTTTGATATTTAAGGTGTATGTTGGGATCTTTCACTTTGGGAATCTCCAGAATAGCGTACCTGTTGCTGCGACGAGACTTGCCTCTGCAGCGAGGACAAGCGCGAGCATCCTGACGCCCGGGTGGGAAGCAAGCTGACAATGTTTGATAGCTGCGGTCCGGCTGTGTAGCTTGGCTCTGCAGCGGTGGATGTTGTTCCTTTGTTTGTCTTGGGGTTCCTTTTCCCTTTTTTCTTACACTTGACCTCAGCGAGTATATATATATATATCTTCGGGAGGGGTTCACTGAAGAGCCTGGGTAGTTGGTATGCGTTTGGGAAGCCCCGCATCACTCCTGACACAACTAACACCCTCTATGCTTGTACGACCACCTAGATTCTAGAACCTAGCAGAACCCTCATAGAGTCTACGTGGGTTTGGTTATGAGTTTGCTCGCCCCTAAACCCTAAACCCTGAACCTTTAAACCCTAAAGCCCTGTACAAACCCTATAAACCCTGAGCCCCGAAGCCCTAAAGCCCTAAACCCCTATATTCACCCAAAACCCTGAAGCCCTAAAGCCTTGAACCCTAAAGCTCTAAACCCCTCAACCCTAAACAACACGTCAACCGAAGAGACGAGGTTCTTATTATGGCCGGCCACCATCATGAACTTGTGCTTTGCGATCTTCCTTCCCTGGTTCGCCAATATGCACACGGAATGCTCAGAAGCTGGGTCCGCAAGTGGGGTTTAGGGTTTAGGGTTTAGGGGTTCGGGTATTCTATAGGGGTAAGGCTTCAGGTTTAGAGTCTGGGTGATAAGGATATCGCGTGGCTTTGGTTCCGGGTTGGCAAGACCAGATGCACCCCTGGGCAAGTATCCATACCCTGAAGCAAGGGCCGAGGTACATCGCCGCCCGATCCTGCGAAGCCCACACTCAAAGCATGTCGAAGAATCACGCCCGAACCCAACACCCCTTTACGATTGAATAGGGTTTAGGGTTTAGGGTTAACAGCCCTAGACATCCAGAGCCAGCGCCCAAGGTTGCCGGTTTGGGGCTGTCTGGGCTTCTGGCCCCAGGGTCAGTGGTCGGGCCAGTGAGTCGCCATGCCAAGAAACCGCAAACTTCCGAAAAGCTCCAAGCCCATCGAGACCCTACACATCCGCCATATATCCGCAAAGAACAGTGCTGTCCACTTTGAAAGGGGCATGGGTCTCAGAATATGGGTTTGAGGTTTAGGGCCCAGGTCCTTTTTCCTGTGGCCCTCAGGAGTTACCACAATCAGGAAGTCATGTCATTCACTATAGATCCCTGTTATGGTATCGTGAACTACATTCTTAAACCCCAGAACCTAAAGCCCTAAACCCTGAATGACCCTCTAACCCCAAACCCCTAAACCCTAAACCCTAAACCCTAAAACCCTAAACCCTAAGCCCTAAACCAGCACACCCGGCTCTCAGGAGTTTGGCACCCCGAGCTATCCGGGATGGCTATGGGTAATTTTCGCCCCATTTCTGGCTGCCATGCTTGCAATCGAGTGGCGATGCTTGACATACATCGCGGCTCGGCTGCCTCTCTTAGGCTCAGCCATGGTTTCGGCTTAGGTTTTGTAAGGTTGAGGAGTCGAAGGTTTAGGAGTTTGGGATTTAGGGTTGGGGGAGCGGTTTACGGGTTTAAGGTTTCTGCCTGAAGGTTTAAGGTTGTTGGACGCTGACGTTTCGGCTCATGCCCGATTGACCCAGACCCTGACACACCGAACCAGTTCGGAAGGTTTAGTGTTCAGGGTTTCGGGTCCTGAAGCGCTTAGGGTTTAAGTTTTAGGATTGAGGGTGGAGGGATTCTCCAAAGAGATAACCCTAAACCCTAAACCCTAAACCCAGGTGATGCCATTCCTCCATTGGCTACCCGCCATGCCACTGGGCCAGACAGCCTGCGGCAGAATTCTCAAGGTTTCGGCTGCATTTAAAGCTCAAAAGCAGTATGGAGGGCCGAGTTAATAACATCCCCTGAATATCATGTAGATATGCGAAATAAACCAGAAGCTACCCTGAAAGCGCTATAGACCCTAAGCCCTTGCAGCCCCAAAGCCTTAAACCCACAGCAGTTTGGTTCTGAACTGAGGCCGATGCCTTTCTTTAAGGAGCCACCATTCCTGCTCTGGCTGTCGTACTCGAGCGCGGTCAGTGTGACACTTTGGCTTTGAGCAGTTTTCCCTTTTGAAAATCGGTGGATTAGTGTAGTGTGGCTTGAAGCTAACGGAACATAGTAAGTCGCAACTTATGGTTGTTTGAAGCATATTCTGTGTCAATCTTGAGAAGATGCATTCGGGAGTCTGGTTTAGGGAGTACATACAGTTACCACATGGCAATAGGGATATGTAGTATCCAAGACGCCTAGTTTGGGGATCGGTGTTTACTGAAAGTAACCGCAATGTTTGGTAGTTGAGGTTTTGTGGGATTTCACCCAAAGTCCTGAATTGATCCTAAGCCCTAAACCCTAAACCCTAAACCCTAAACCCTAAACCCTAAACCCTAATTGATCCTAAGCTACCCTAGACCCTAAATCCTCAGCCCTAGAAACTTGGTAAACCGGATTCGGAGTCCCTCAGACTCCCCCCCCCCCCCCCCCAATCCTTATCGCCCTTGTTGTAAGCAGATCCCCAAACCCTATTCAACTTATTCAGCCCTTGTACTAAATCCCTATATAGTATCCTTTATTGTAGCTTTTCGACCCCGCACTGTATAAATAGAAGCCTTTCAGGGAAGCCTGTTGCAAGTATGAAGGCCGCGCTCTCATTACTATAGAAGCCTAAATAATTACCTATATTGTTCCTTAGGATCCTTGTTATACGTGTACTATAAAGGAGCCCCAGATCCTCTTCTAATCATTAAGCCCTAAACCCCTAAACCCCTAAACCCTAAACCCTAAACCCTGAACCCTGAACCCTAAACCCTAAACCCTAAATCCTAATTATTAAGGCCCTTTTAAGTTGGGAGCTGCATTGTCCCGCAGCCAGGTCGGGTCTCGAATTTCAAATTTCAGGGCTCTTGAAATGCGCGGCTTGGGCGCGCCAAGGGTGTGGGTTCTGGGTTAGGGATATACCTGGTCTGAGGGTTTATATAGAATTTCCCTAAACCCTAAACCCTATAAAGCCTAAAGCCTAAACCCTAAAGGGCTGTAAAAGGCTTTCAGGTCAGTGGCTGGAGCTGCACGCCCTTTTTGCTGCGAGCTCGGAATCCGAACCCCACGAGCCACCAAGCCCGCGCGCTGTGCTCCCCTAACGTAGGGTATATAGGTTTTTTTTTTATTTAGGGTTTAGGGTGTAGGGCTTATAGGGTTTGTAGGGTTTATAGGGTTTAGGGTTTAGGGGACTAAGGAACTACCGAAACCATACGGTTGATGATATAAATCCCGCATGACCTTAAGGACCCTAGTCTATGTGATTTATGGTATGTTCCTTATCATGGGTAATGCAGGACTTAGATCATCAGCCGTATTTTTTTTGGGGGGGGGTTCCTTAGTATAATTTTACTATAAAGGGCCCCAAAACTTTATTTTGATTATTAAGGCCCCTATATTAGGCCTCTTTTGCATGTCCGAAAGAACCTTAAACCCAGAACCCCTAAACCTCGTTTTAATGGCCTTGACAGCTCCCGCAAGTCCTCAACGGTGAAACAAGCTCAAACCCGGGAATCGTTACCGAAAACGGCGCAGAAGTCTTAAACACCCGAAGCCATAAAGTTTGAAATCTCCCAAGCCCTACACCTCAAACCCAACCCAATGCCCCAAAAACATAAATTTAGAGCCTCCCGAAGTTCCGGCATGAAAGGATCTCCCACATGGACGTCATGACACAGGGCCTCTTCTTGGCGACGACTCTTCACACCTTCGAATGCCCAGGCCTGGCTAGTGCACGAAGCTCGCAGTCGGTGATCTCTTTTAGGGCTCTGAATTTAGGAGTTCTAGGGTTTAGGGTTTAGGGGTTATAGGGTTTAGGGCCCTGAATTTAGGAGTTCTAGGGTTTAGGGTTTTAGTGCTGGTGTTACTTAGCCTTCGCTGCTTATATCGGTTAGACAGTATGGAACCGCTGCACTGGTGCTAGTACACCGTTGGCCATTGCTTCACAGCGCATGTTGGTATCTACATTGCATTTGCTGTGTCTTTTCTGAGTCTGAGATAATCACGAATCAGCACGCGATAAACATCGGGGCGGGATGAAGCTCCATAAATATTCAAGTGCAGGAGCATTGATCTACGAACATACTGCAGAATTCTACATGCACGCACTAGCCTCCTTAGCGTTCATGCGCGAACAGCCTGAGGGGTGGAGAGATACGGGGGAGAATGGGTGAGAGACACTATAGGCGCCTTTATTTACCAGCTGCTACTTCCTAACTAGAGACCCTAAACCCTAAATGCAATTCCTCCCTAAACCCTAAACCCTAATTATACCCTAAACCATACACCCTATTCCTCTTTATTACGCGCCCCCTTACATTGTGTGGGATCTTGGACTTCATCTGCGACGTTCCGCGCCGAGTGATAGCCCTGAGCAGGGGCAGTTTGGCTTCGACGTTTGCAGCGAACATCCTAATCTAGAAGGCTCAATAATTACTAGTAGTATTCCTTAGAGTTCCTTATTTATATATATATATATACATACATATATATATATATATGGAGAGAGTACTAAGGGGCCCAAAAGCCCTATTCTAATTCTTACAGCCCCTACATTACCAGACCCCTCTCCCCGCACACACAAGCAAGCTGGAGCATATAACACAAAGAAGATTAGAAGACGCCCTTCGACACGATATGTAGAATCCTCGGCTAGTGTAGGGATTCCGAGCGCCGCAGGCTACCAGGACGTCAACGATGCATGGGAGGACCGGGGAACATGTAGGTGGCCTTTTAGGGTTTACGGTTTGTTGTCCCTAAACCCTAAACCCCAAACCCTAAACCCTAAACCATAAACCGTAAAATCGATCGATTTTCGAAGACTTTGGGATCCAGTTCAGGGCTCTGGACATGATATCGTGGGTTCAGCTAAGAGGGATCAGCCTTCCAACCATGGCTTTCCGGGGAATCCAACAAAGAGTCAAACTAGCTTGAACGCCGTAATATAGGGGCCTTAATAAATAGAATAGTTCCGAAAAGCGAAGCCCTCAACCCCAATTGCTAAACATCCTTTTTTCCAGCAGCTCCTAACCCTGTACATCCTACTTCTACCCCTATTCCTAAACCCACTTTTTCAGCCCTAAGCTTCCTAAACATCCCCATTCCCAGCCCTAAGCTCCAAGCTTTATATATCCTTAACCCTAAACCCTAAACCCTAAGCCCCACACCCTAAACCCTAAGCCCCAAACCCTAAACCCTAACCCCAAAGCCCTAAGCCCTAAACCCTGAACCTAAAGCCCTAAACCCTAAACCCTAAGGCCCCTTTTTTTCAATCCTAAACGGTTTAGGGTTTAGGGTTTAGGGTTTAGGGTTTAGGAAATAAAGCGCTTGAGGAAGTCTGGAGCACGTCGATCTTTTCCTGGGCCACCTGGGGCTCCAGCTTGGCCTCTCGACACACAGGGTTCAGGGTTTTAGGGTTTTAGGGTTTTAGGCATTTAGGGTTTAGGGTTTAGTTTAGGGTTTTGGGGTCTAGGGTTTTAGGGCTTTAGGGTTTTAGGGTTTGGGTTTAGGGTCTAGGGTTGAGGGTGTAGGGGGTTTAGGGTTTAGGGTTTAGGGTCGGTCTAGGGTTTAGGTTCAGGGTTTAGTGAAGTTTTTGCGGTACCTGTAGTCTCCTTTCCAAGAGGGTCCATATACACTACTAGGATGGAACATAATAAGGATGGTCTTTTGGGACTTCTAATTCCATAATGGCTATACAGTCTCTCTTGTAGTTCCTTTATTTAGTTGAAGTACTTTCATATTTAGGATCCGATGTAGGTAGCCTGCACAAGGAACTACAATGGAAACTGTAGGTGGGGCTTAAAAGGTTTAGGGTTTAAGGCTCAGGGATTAGTATTATCATGATTATTCTTATTATGGGGTTTGTAGTTTATAGGCTTTAGGGCTTACAGGGTTTAGGGGGCTTTTGGGCCGTACAGTTTCGGGGTTCGGGGTTTCCTGTGCGAAGGTTTAGGGGTTGGGGGGAAAGAGTTTAGGCATTGGGCTGTGGCCGAGGGATGTTCAATAAGTGTTGAGGGGCGGTTTCCGCTTGAATAGCTTCCGTGCATTCACGAGGTCTTTGGTCTTAGTAGAAAGACCATACTTATTATGGTTTTGGGGACTTATAGTTCCATCATAGTAGTGTATATGGACCCTCTGGGTTTATTCTGCACTAAGTTTCTTGTGGCAGATCCCTGCGCAAGCTCTCCCGCACGCTTGTGGAAAGCTGATGTTAATCTTCGCACCTTTGAGTTTCGGGTGCTGTTGCAGGGCTGTCATGCGGAAACTGTATGGTTTAAGTAAATCCCAGATCGAAGCCATTCAGTTCTTAATTAGAAACGGTGTACCACAGCAGAGGATCTAGTCTCTTAAACATTGTGAAACTAAAAGCCGCGATGCTCTATACAACGTCTGAATAATGACCAACTGTAACATGATTCCTAGCTCCTGCTTATGTTTTAGCAAAATATACCCCGAACAGCTATTCCGATCTCTTAAAGCCCCCATATTACCTTTTGCATTTGCAAGACCTCCAGTGTTCGATGCGTCTTCGGCCTAGGGACTCCCTTCAGTAGCTCCCCTTGGAAGTCCTCAAAGCCCCTGACGCCCGATGACCCCAAACCCTACACCGAACCCAGGAAAATCAATGAAGACCCAAACCCTAAACCCCTAAACCGCTAAACCCTCAATCCCTCAACCCTAAACCCTGATGCCTAAACCCTAAAACCCTAAACCCTAAAATCCTAAAACCCTAAAACCCTAAAGCCCTAAAGCCCTAAACCCTAGAGCCCTAAAACTCGAGCGAGGCCCTG